TATTAGCAGGGAACGCTGCTGCCCATTCCCTGGAACCATCCCTTAGTCGCTTTGTACGACACCCACGGGTAGAAATGGGGTGGTGCCATTCTAAGTCGGCATCTCACGGTAACTGCAAAACGTGCAAAATTTTTACCGCAGGCAGGACTTGAACCTGCAACCTTCGGCATCTCTTCTGCCGACTAACTGGGCTACCGCGGTTCTAATCTAGCCTGCGAATTAAGCAAGTATATCTTGTCCATTAACGCGTGGATGGGCTCCATCTACCGGGAGAGTTTTTGCAACTAATTCCCAACGACTAATTCATTCTTTGAATGTAGTCAAAGCGATAAAAACCCGCGATAACTTGAATTGCTGTGTGATGCCGGCTTAGAATAGCATCACCCCATTTCTTTCCTGTGGGTGTCGTAAGAGGCGACTAAGGGACTCTCGAGGGTTTGATGTGTATTGCAATTTTAGGCGACAGGCTGACAACCTGTCACTATAGCGATACACGACAATAGCTAAAACGGCCCTCAAATATGTGTCAGACGTGGCGACACCGACCGTATTTTTACGGCTGTTGACGCTCTGCCTACCCCGCAAGCGATAAAGGCGTGATTTATGTATGTATGTATGTCGCAGGAATGTAGCGAAATCCGGTAATTCGCGAAATCCCTAGGCCCTTCGCGAAGAGCCGGATAATAGTGAAATGCATCGATTTATACGCACATTTCCCGGAAATCTGCGAATTCGTTATTTGCATGGACATAAATCCAGGAAAACTGCGTATAAGGCGACACGCGGCTACGAAGCCGCCTACGCACCTGCTACGAAAGGTTCCATATGCTGATCAGGTGGTTCAGCCTGCAATTGCCTACTCATTCATGACCATGACCATGCCTAGACTATGACCATGACCATGACCATGACCATGACCATGACCATGACCATGACCATGACCATGACTAGACCATGACCATGACCATGACCATTACCATGCATGACCATTACCATGACCATTGCCATGACCATTGCCATGACCATTGCCATGACCATTGCCATGACCATTAACATGACCATTACCATGACCATTACCATGACCATTACCATGACCATTACCATGACCATTACCATGACCATTACCATGACCATTACCATGACCATTACCATGACCATTACCATGACCATTACCATGACCATTACCATGACCATTACCATGACCATTACCATGACCATTACCATGACCATGCCTAGACTATGACCATGACCATGACCATGACCATTACCACGATGGTCATGGTCATGGTCATGGTCATGGTCATGGTCATGGTCTAGTCATGGTCATAGTCTAGGCATGGTCATGGTCATGAATTAGTAGGCAATTGCAGTGGCTGAACCACCTGATCAGCATATGGAACCTTTCGTAGCAGGTGCGTAGGTGGCTTCGTAGCCGCGTGTCGCCTTATACGCAGTTTTCCTGGATTTATGTCCATGCAAATAACGAATTCGCAGATTTCCGGGAAATGTGCGTATAAATCGATGCATTTCGCTATTATCCGGCTCTTCGCGAAGGGCCTAGGGATTTCGCGAATTACCGGATTTCGCTACATTCCTGCGACATGTATAACTTGAATACCTTTTAAAACACTTCTCGTGTAGCAGTACATGGCAGTACTGATGCCGAAGGTTGCAGGTTCAAAACCTGCCTGCGGTGGAAAATTTTGCAAGTTTTCCTAAAATTGTACTTATACCTAACACGAGAAGTGTTTTAAAATTTGGTATTCCACTGTTCTGCTCCTTACACATCACATCACGTATTAACTACCCCCATTTTAACATTAGTTTTTCCTTTTTCCAGCAATGCCCTGGTTTGGAATGGACATCGGCGGTACACTCACGAAACTCGTCTACTTCGAGCCGCGGGAGACGAATAGGAAAGATATAGAAAAAGAAACGGAAGTGCTAAAGAACATCAGGCGGTATCTCACAAGGAATTCAGCGTATGGCAACACCGGCAGACGGGATGTGCATTTACAGGTAAATCAATCAATCTATCAAATACTGGGTGATATTTTACTAGTGACTGATAGCGAAAACTCAGAACCGGATGGTGATAAGAAACATCTGTCCCCGAGAAACATAGGTCGAAATATGAAAAAAATGGACCTCCCTAACAAAATTCCCGATCAGCTGATTTGAGTTACTGTGGAAGGACAAATTTTTTTTTTATATTTCGACCTATGTTCCTTGGGGAAAGATGTTCCTTATCACCAGCCGGTTCTGAGTTTTCGCTATCGGTCACTAGTAAAATTTCACCCTATATGTTTACTATGTACCTATGATACGATACACAGATGATTAAAGTGTTACAATAATTTTAAGAAAGTTCTCTGTGACCCGCCCATAATGGGCATATAATAAGAAAGCAGTCTTTATATAAATTAAAACAACAAAATCAGGGTCAATAAAATCAAATTACAAATCATACAATCACTGCCGTGTGGCTTAGAATATCATCACGCAATATCTTTCGCGTGGGTGTCGTAAGAAGCGACTTTAAGAGAGAATTTGAGAGTAGATGAGTATTGAAATTTTAGGCGACAGGCTGACAACCTGTCAGCCAGCATTATCCAGCGATTTTGTACATACATACATAAACCACGCCTATGCCTTGCGGGGTAGGCATATACCGCTGTAAAAAACATCCATTTATACCACGTCTGACAAAAGTTCAAGAGTCATTCAAATCGCTGTATATCATCCATCATAGTGACAGGTTGTCAGCCTGTCGGCTAAAATTGCAATACACATCAACTCATACGCCTTAGTCGCTTCTTACGATACCCAAGGGAGAGATATGGGGTATTGCTATTCCAAGATTGCACCACACGACAATAAACGTAAACTTAATCATCTTTGTATTGGATTTTTTAATGTACTCACAGCCCTATATTATTCTCATAAATTGAAAATGAGAAAATTGAAAAATTCACACACGACCGCCGGGACTTGAACCCGAGACCGTGGGGTACCGTCCCACTGCTCTGCCAACTGAGCTGGCGGACCCTGGTGAATTTCTGAACCTCTTGATGCTCGTCTCGAAGCGACGATTAAGCGACATCTAGTAGTAGTTTTTACAACTTAATACTTTGGTTAGTCCACGTTACAGTAGGAATTCAAACCATATAAAGAAGCTTTTTAGCTCTGCTCAGTTGCGCCCGTAGCTCAGTTGGCAGAGCGGTGGAACGGTGATCCACAGTCCCGGGTTCAGGTCCCGGCGGTCGCTAGTTAATTTTGCAATTTTCTCATTCTTAACCACGACGGGACGGAGACGGTACATGAGTTTGGGGTGAGAGAATGTGCGTTTGTGTGTTTGTGCAAACCTATGTTACCAAATATCTCCCAAACCACAAGTCCGATTTTGATGTGGTTTTCAGTGATGGGTTGGAATTTTTTGGTGCATGTTCTTAGATAGGTATTACGCGAACAACTCGACAGGGGGCGCTGCAGTAAACATTTCTTAGTGCAAACCAATGTTACCAATTATCTCTAAAACCACTAGTCTGATTATGATGCGGTTTTCAGTGATAGATGAAGATTTGACTGGGGAATGATCTTAGCTAAGAGTTACGCGAACAACTCACCAGGGGGAGTTGCAGGAAACTGTCGTGGGTTTTTCAAAATTTACATTTTGTTTTCACTTGTTAATTAACCATCTTCTCTATTCGCAGATGGACAATGTGACGATACGCGGCCGGAGAGGCACTCTGCATTTCATACGGTTCCCTACTACCGAAGTCGGGGCGTTTTTACAACTGGCCAGGTCAAAAGGTAACTATAACCATTACAGCCACAAAAATCCACTGCTGGACATGGGCCTCCCCTTAGAGTAGAGTTTGCAGTAGTTTGTATACAGCCTCTCTGTAGCAAAACGTCAGTGACAGCACAATCGAACCTCTGTAGGGAGTAACGGAAAGGGTATAACAAGCCGAAAGGAGGTGAAGGTATAATTTACTATGGGGGGTCCAATTCTTTTTTTTCACAATTCGACCCATGTTCCATGGGGAAAGTTGTGGGTGAAACCCTTTCCGTTACTCCCGGTATAACTTCTCATACATTTGACGTGTGTATCTAGGGAACAACTGCTTATGCTTTGACAGTAAGCCGCGGGCCCTTTCGCGCACTCTATAGCTTGCTTATACCGGTAGTAACAAAAAGGGTATTACAAGCCGAAAGGAGGTGAAGTTACTTTACTTATGAAACTGAACAACTTTCCCCATGGAACATGGGTCGAAATATGGAAAAAAATATGGACCTCGCATAGTAAATCAGTCAGCTGATCGACGAATTTGTATGGTAGGTCAAATTATTTTTTCATAGTTCGACCCATGTTCCATGGAGAAAGTTGTTCAGTTTCATGAGTACCTTCACCTCCTTTCGGCTGGTAATACCCTTTTTGTTACTCCCTGTACATACTCTAAGGCCTCCCCTTATCGGATTACATTTACGGCTGCTGCCCATTCCCTGGATTATCCCTTAGTCGCTTTTTACGACTACCACTAGTAGAATTGGAGTGATGCTATTCTAAGCCGGCATCACACGCCAACGGCTAAAGATAAAACATTATAAATAGGGTGCTTTCCTACATCTTTTATGAAAGTATCGGAAAAATTCGAGTCTTGAAAAGCTGAAAATAAAGTATAGGTAATTTGATTTATTGGGATTTTAATCAGAAATGGGCAAAAATTATTCGCCGAATAAATTGCCCGGCGAATAAATTTTTTATGAGTAGGTAAGTTAATTGAACAAGAAATAAAATGCAAGTTTTTTATATTCTTTAATACAAGATTCTTTTGTACCTACTCTCAATTTCATCCAAAAGTAATATATTGTACTCGTGAAAAATTTGTTCGCCAGGCAATTTATTCGGCGAATAATTTTTGCCCATCTCTGATTTTAATGCACTCATAGTGCTATATTATTCTCTCATAAATGAAAATAAGTAATTGAAAAATTCATGCATCGACCGGGACACGAACCTGGGCCGCATGGGTCAACGCCCCACGGCCCACCGCTCTGCCACTGAGATATCGAGGCACTGATCAATGCATGCCGAATTTTTAATCTCTTGATGCTCGTCTCCAAGCGACGATCTAGCGACATCTAGTGTAGAAAGTATGTACAACAATGTTTTTCATTTCTTATTTTCATTTATAATTTGGTTGGAACCTGTATGTTTCTCACATGATTGTAATTCTCTTAAGAACTAAATTCAATAAAATAAAACTATTTTTATAATTTTTGGAAAACTTCCAAAATTTCACCGCAGGCAGGATTCGAACCTGCGACCTTCGGCATCAGTACTACCATCAGACCGCGGTAGCCCAGTTGGTTAGGGCGTCGGCAGTACTGATGCCGAAGGTCGCAGGTTCGAATCCTGCCTGCGGTGAAATTTTGGGAGTTTTCCAAAAATTTTTTACCTAACACGAGAAGTGTTTTAAAATTTGGTATTCTATTTTTATAAATTTTTCTCTTTTTAAAGGTATGGCGGATCTCGTGAATACAATATATGCCACAGGCGGAGGCGCTTACAAATTTGAAGAAGACTTCATAAAGGTATTATAAAGAGTCCCCTCTGGTTTTTACCGTGTGATGCCGGCTCAGAATAGCATCACCCCATATCTTTCCCGTGGGTGTCGTAAGAAGCGACTAAGAGAGTTGAGAGTCGATGTGTATTGCAATAATAGGTGACAGGCTGACAACCTGTCACTACAATGATACACACTTTTCTGAATGACTCAAACTTTTGTCAGACGTGATGTAAATGGAAGTTTTTGAGCGCCGTTAATGCTCTGCCTGCCAAAAGGAGGTCAAGGTACTCATGAAACTGAACAACTTTCCCTATGGAACATGGGTCGAAATATGAACAAGAAATTTGGACCTCCCATACAAAATTGCCGATCAGCTAATAGATTTACTATGGGAGGTCCAATTTATTTTTAATTTTCTACCAGTAAGGTTACTGGTTCATATCCAGCCTGCGGTGAAAATAGTAATCTTACTGTTGTACCTTTAGACGCATAACGTACGATTCGCAAACTGTATACTCATAATAATTTATGTATCTTTTCCCAGGAAGTGAACATGCGACTGTCAAAACTGGACGAACTGGACGCTCTAATATCCGGAATCCTGTTCGTGGACTCGACAAACGCCCACGAGTGCTACTACTGGGCGCCGCCTGACGAAACCCCGCTAGATAACCATCAGACAGATCAGGTATATGGTCATTTACACATTAAACATTATACTGGGTTATTTTTTAGTCAGTGCGCAGACTTTGCAGGGTGTTTCTACTCGTGATTCTGAACAACTTTCATTATGGGACCAACTGCGAAATCGCAAATAAAAATTTGGATGTTCCATAGAAAAATTCATACCTACTCGGCAAAAATGTATGGAACAACCAAAAATATTTTTTAGATTTCGCAGGTGGCCCCATAGTAAAAGTTGTTTAGAATCACGAGTAGAAACATCCTGCAAAGTTTGCGCACTGACTAAAAAATAACCCTGTATAGATAAATATAAGGTGTAAAAAAATCAACTGCAAATATTTAAAAGGGCGAAACTGAAATGAAAATAAACAACTTTCACAAAGGAACATAGGTCGAAGTATGATAAAAATTAGGAGAGTCGGGCGTGTCAACTTGTATGGGAACTCATCATCTTCCTGCCCTTAATATCCCAATTACATGGGGTCGGCGCAACATGTTTTGTTTGAACACAAAATCATATTGCAAAAGGATTTGACTAAATTTTACAACCGTCCGCCTGCCTGACGTCAACCCTCTTTGGAAATGCTATCGTAGGTGGTATTACCGCTACCATACGGTTAACTGTGGTTGGCAGATATCGTAGCCGAGGTCAAAAACTCTACGTCGCCTTTTACGAAACACCCTGAGTAGAATAAGGGTGGCAGAATGCTTAGCCGCTACCACTCGGTACTTTCAACTAGTATTGGAGCTCCGATTTCTTTTTTCATATTTCGTCCTATATTCTTAAGATTAAGTTGTTCAGTTTCATGGACTGGTTCACCCCTCAGAATATTCGCAGTTGATTTTTTTCCCACCTAATTCGATGCTTATTTTTCAGCCCCCGTACTCCCAGACGGCGCTGAGCGCGTACGTCCGCAAGCCTTTTGACTTCTCAACGCCGTACCCGTTTATATTGGTGAATATTGGCAGTGGGGTATCTATGCTGGTCGTCAACGGACCCAACGAGTTTCATAGAGTTAGCGGGACCAGGTGAGAAAAAGATAATAATATTAAAGAAATAAAAATGCAAGAAAAGAAAAAAACTTTCAGGCTTAACTTTACCTAAAACAAAATTTAAATTGAAAAAAAAAACGCAGAAACATTCCCCAGTGAAATCTTTATGTATCACTGAAAACCGCATCAAAATCCGACCAGTGGTTTCGGAGATAATTGGTAACATTGGTTTGCACAAACAAATGTTTACTGCCCCGCCCCCTGGCTAGTTGTTTGCGTAATACGTATCTAAGAACATGAACCAATGTAATCCTAACATATTACTGAAAACCGCATCAAAATCCGACCAGTGGTTTCGGAGATAATTGACAACATAGAATTCCACATACACAAACATCCTCCACCGTTCAGCCGTAAGTAAAAATAAATTAAAAAATCAATTTTCAGTCATCATTTGTAAGATATTCATTAATTTGTCGCAAACCTTTCGACTTGTCAACGCCGTACCCGTTTATTTTGGTGAATATTGGCAGTGGGGTATCTATGCTGGTCGTCAACGGACCCAACGAGTTTCACAGAGTTAGCGGGACCAGGTGAGAAACAAAAATGTATTAAAAATTAATAAAAAAAGAAAAATGCAATAAAGAAGCAATTTTCAGACAATTTATGTTCGAAAGAGGGTAGTCAGATATGTTTGCCCCTAGAAGGATGACATCACTCGCCGAACCAGTCTACTAGTGACTATTATAGAGCGTGAACATACATATATCACGCCTATATTTCTAGCGGGGTAGGTAGAGCGCAAACGGTGACTGTAAAAACCAACCATTTACGCCACGTTTGACAAAAGTTGGAGTCGTCATTCAGAAGACTGTGTACCGCCATAGTGACAGGTTGTGAGCCTGTCGCCTAAAATTGCAATACACGTCAACTCTCAAATCCCTTAGTTAGACGATTATAAGCCGGCATTACACAGCAAAAAAAATAAGTATTAAAAAAATTACAAAAAAGGAATCAACTTTCAGTCAGCATTTGTAAGACGCAAGCTCCAAAGATGTGACGTTTCACATAAGATGACATCTGTAAAACAAACAAAGCTACACAGGTGAGACGCACCACGTCTCATCTGTGGAGCTTGCACCTTAGAGTATACATAAGCTGCGCTATAAAGTGCCCGTACTGTCAAAACGCAAGCAGTTGTTCCATAGATACCTGCGTTAATTAAAATAAAAAATAAAGCGATTCTCGAGCTGCGAGCTGTTGCGAAAAAATAGCGCAACAGCCGAAAAACATTGAAGATGAGTCTCCTAACTACGTAACAGACATCATTGTTGAAATCGAAAAACAAAACAAAATTAACACCTACTTAAACAATTACCTACTTAAACAAAATATCAAAAAAATTCTATTTACTCTGAATTACAGCACATTTGAATCATTTTATAATAAATTATTTAATTAACAAGCGGTTAAATTTACCTACATTTTACATCTACATAATGCATGCATAACCTTATTTTATATTTAATTAAAAGTACTTTAATTTTATCTAAATGTTCTGACTGACTGCTCTCAAATACTCATTTGTAACATTATGTACTCGTAACTCGTCCTAGCACAGACTTCGGTCTTTTTTGGGCTGTCACTGCACACCGTGTAACTCAAGCGCTCACCAGAAATTGTTTTCTTTCATTGTTATTTTTGTTTAAGAGCGCATTCAATTTTTTCTAGCAAATTTGCAAATATTGGCTTTATAAACATGCGAGTTTCTCGAAAACCGTTATGTGAAAATAATATGTTACTTGAACATTTAATTAAGCATATCTTCATCTAAAAAATGTACAATGTGAATATTAATATTTTAGTTTTAAACCTGTTACAAACAGCGATATCTAAAGCGACAAAACCAAAATTCAGGAAAAGACCTCAAATCAAGCGTGAGTTTTAGAGTTTTGGTTCACTGTAAAAAAATATCAATTATACAAAAAAATAGAGTATATAATTGAGAACAAAGTCTACAGTGAACATTTTACAATTTTATTCAGAAATATAGAATAATACCACGTTTTTATATACGATTTTTTGCAAAATAATGCGCCATTATAACGGCTTCTGTATGAAAAAATAACAGTAGTAAAGATTTAAAAAAAATATATGTTATTTAAGAAGATGTACTTAATCTAATTGCAGAAAAATATATTTATTTTTATTCATAATATCACTGTAAAAAATATTCAAACATCCCCATGTTTTTCGCAAAATGACGCTCCGAGAGGTCTGGCAGGGAAAATTGTATGGGCTTCGTGAAAAGCTCTATAGCGGCCTTAAGGTGAAATTGTGAATACTTCTTTTGCATGTGTTAATAAATAAATCGTCGAATGGGACACCAAGTCGTCTAATGACCTGATTAACCATGGTGTCAGTTATATGAGAAGTAATAGGATTTAATAGTGTTGTAACTGTCGTTTCGCAATTGATAGACAGACAAGTTGTGTTTACTAGTGACCATTTATGCAGCTTGCCCCTAAAATATTTCTATTTTGTCTTCAGTCTCGGCGGCGGCACATTCCTGGGCCTGTGCTGCTTGCTGACCGGCTGCAGCAGTTTCGAGGAGGCCATCTCTTTAGCTCAAGCCGGTGACAACACTACTGTTGATAAACTGGTGCGGGATATATACGGCGGGGACTACGCGAGATTCGGTCTGCCCGGCGATTTAGTAGCTAGCAGGTAAGCAAAAAAAAAACGTTTACCTGCCATAAAAAAAATACAGAAACACCTTTTCTATAAAGCCCCACACTAGGCTGTAGGCTTTACCAATAGAGCTTTATA